TTCTAGTACTTTTGTTGGGTTCAGTCCCATCAGGAATTCGAACCCACACCCTTAGAGTCAGGCACCTGTTCGCCAGCACACAAAGTCAGCCACTTAACCTACTCAGCCAGAGCGGCTTCCACATGCATTGATAATGACTGAAAAAATGTGCAAGCATAATTTGACTGCTCTCATTTGTTTTTTAACATTTGGTGAGTCTGAAGTACTTCCTTCCCATTGTATGCTGAGCCTTGTGGTCTTCATTCTGCTGTTAAAACAGTGTAATTATCTGAGCACCAATATAATCAACACAAAAAGTCAGTTATCAATGCTTGTGGTATGAAATGGGATGTCACACTTTATTTTCCAGTTATTACCTGAAGTTAATTCAATCATTAAGAAGTCAGAATCATATTTACATGTTATGTATTGTCATATTGTTGTGGAGGGCACAAGTGACCCAGTCATCACAGAGTTACATCCCTTGGGAATGCCTGCAACCTATGATTGTGTGTTTGAAGTTCATCCCAGTTATGTTTCTAAGTTTGTTTGCACCAAACCTATACTACTGATTTGGCCAAGTGGAAAATGTCTGATATCTGTATTGCTTCAGGCATCCGCTGCCCACGATTCTTCTCATATAACTGGAATACAGGGCTGGTGGGGTAGACCAGCAGTTTAAGCGTTCACTCGTCATGACGAAGGCCCAGGTTCGATTCCCCACATGGGTACAATGTGTGAAGCCCATATCTGGTGTCAACCGCCATGATATTGCTGGAATATAGCTAAAATTGGCATATAACCCAACTCACTCACTCACTCACTCGATGGAATACTATTCAAATTGGTATTGAGCAAAACATACTTGCTCTTATTGTTGTATAGTGCAAGTTTAATGCTCTTAAGGCGAAAATATATCGGACATTAACAATTAAATACATCACTTATTTAACATTGTAATATTATGGTTTGTGCCTTGTGGAGATCTATTAAAATATATAAATTCTTACTTATGCAATTTTTGTATAAATTTTAAAAACATTTCTAAGATTTAATTTTTCTACTTACTGTATTTGAACTTAATCCATGTGCTATTTTTATTTTACCTAATGACCATTCTAGCCAGGAGGACGTTACCCTAGTGAATGTATTTAGCCAAGAGAAATAACAGTAACTCCATTCTGAAGTAAACCAAGCCATGACATTTTGTGGACTATGTAAGTTCAGTTGAACTTTTCATTAGCTTGTGTTTTCTATAACTGAAGACATAAACAAAGTGTTGAAATGATCGAAGCCAAAGGTCATTACTAACATTACACCAGGTGGCTATTGTTACAATTTTGTGATATTCACCACATCATGCATACGATTGTGTCAGTATTTGCATTGGCAGTGTGATTTACATCATGTCAGATTGATTTCTTGCACACACAAAAATATGATGCATGACAAGTTTATGCACATTCTTTGAAGAATGGTTATGTATTAATGTATGTATGAATGATTGTTTTGTGTGAATAGTGTTTTGAATGTTTTTATTATTGATACAACTAGTGAATGTACATGCTGTGATTGTGAATGTCTGAGTGAGGGAACATTCACTGTATTCCGCTCAATAATTGCTTATCATTTGTTGATTTAATTTAGAGCTTCCTCTACCTCTAATTTCTAAACGTAGTAGATTATTCTTCTAATTTCAATGCCTGCATATGTCACTTGGAATGGACTGCATGAAGTAGACAATTTTTCAGCCATTGAATATTCAATGGCGTAGCAAAATTTGTAAACACACAGTTTTTATAAATATTGTGAAATGCAAAATGAATTGTGTCAGCTCCAAGAATTTGGTAAGGCACTACTAAGAGAGTTCATTCTTGGAAGAGTGAATTCTGAGTTTCAGTTGTATTCTATGTACATATGTTATTATTTCTGTGATTTTATGGAAGAAAATACAGGAAAAAAAGCGTAAAACTAACAGAGCAACTTTTAAGTCAGAGTACATCACAAAATGTTTTCATTTTTTGTGTGTGTTTTCAGTTTTTTCAAGCACGAGGTAGTTTTATTTTGTGGCATCATGAAGAGTGAAACAGTGTGATGTCATGTTCACTCACACTCAGTCAGCTTGGAGAATTGCACTCATGTCAATATATGAAAGTTGTTACACTCAAGCTTTCCACCCTTATGGTAACATACAGAATTTTGATCTACCATTTTATATCCCTGACTTAATGTGAGTAGTACATGCTCTTGTGATAATGCCTGACAGTGCATTAAATTATTTAAATACATGTTGAAAGCTTTTCTTGCATATACTCATGGAAACAAATAAGGGAACACATGAGGTGAGGTGAAATTGGGTTTACAGAATATTTAAGCTCATATGAAATGTACACTAGCCCAGACTTAAGCTGGTTTTATAGTGCTTCACTGAGATATCATGCCGCAGTGAAGCATGGATACCCCACTCAGACACAGTATACTGACTCCGAGCCGACCAGTCCTTGTTGTACCCATTAATGCCAGGGAACACATGAAAGTACAAGTGTTCTTATTTTCTTTTCCAAGTTTCTCCACAAGGAATGGATTACACTGTGGGTGAAAATCTGGAAATTTATAAAGGAACACTTGTACTTTCATGTGTTCCCTTATTCGTTTCCATGAGCATATATTTAGGGATGTGACATTTGAATCTAGGTGGCTCACAACCTTGTTGCCATAGTGACGGTTTTAGCCCTGTTAGTTTTATTTATTGCTTTATGAATTGATAAAACCAGAGCAGAGTTACTGAGTGTGAGAAAGCTTAGTGCCAAATAACTCTGCCCAAAAGGTTGTTCTTTCTGATTGTCATTTGCGAATTTGTTGGTTAAAAATTAGATATCTAAAGATTACAATCTTTGATTTATCTTTGGTTAAAACAGGCTCGTTATAGATGTGTCACTGTGTGATTCTCACTTTAACCTGTCTCTGATTATAAGTTGACATTATTGGCAGGGTTTAAAATTGAATTCACCACTGTGATTACAAAATGAAATGGGAGGACAAATGACTTAAATCTCATATTCTTGCCTTTTGACATGGAGAATATGTACTTTTCTCATATATTTGTATTTTATGGAAATTAGTTGTTCAAGCTTGTAATAAATGTGTCACTTGTAACTGGGCATTATTTTTTAAGAATATTTTCACAATGAATCAGATCATTTCAGTGAGAATTGTAATTATGCAGAGGAAGGAATATTGATACAATGTGATTATGATGAGAATCCCTGTTTCTAGGGTGTTTGTGATCTGTGGTTGGTGTTGATTGTCTGACTGTAAGGGTGTCAGAGGTGTGTGTAAATGTACATGTCAGTCTGTCTGGCCTGACACTAATAGAACTACATGTTGAAATAAACCTGTTTTTGAAACATTGAAACTTTTGTTTCCTTGATTTTGTCAGTTCAGGTGGCAATTGGCTGCAATCACACAAAAAAAAAACATCATAATTTTCAAGAGAAGTCCGAGCTTCACTGTCAACTACCAACAACTAGTTGTCAAGACAATAGTACCCCAAGCAGCCTCTGTTTAACGATTGAGAAACCTCACTACTTTCCAGTGTGTGGTAAGTTAATATAAAGGTAAGGTAAGTTTATACGAGTTCTGGCTTTTGCACTTGGTTGTGTAGACACACGGGTCAACTAAGATTCAGACAAAGTGTTGCATTGATCAATGAAAATCAATTTCAACAAGAGCACGTCTCATATCACAGATAAGACCCAAGAATCATATTTCAGCTTATTGTATTGTATATCATAGATCTAGTTTAACATGTTATATTTGAGATTACAATTTCTCAGTAACGTACAGATTCTAATAAGTTTTGTTGGGTTGAGTCCCATCCAGGATTTGAACTTCACTCTCAGAGTCAGGCAATTTTTCGCAGCACACACAGTCAGCAATCTAACCCACTCAGTCATGGAAGTCGGACAACAGGTAGTCCAGATCACCTCTGACAAGATCTGATTTGCCAAATGCTGTAATGCCATCAATGATTTTGTTAATAAATCCAGAATATCTTTTTCGAAAAGAAATTCACAGGTGACCATTTTGAATTTCTTCTTTTATCAGCTCCAAAATCAAAACCTCAATCGACTTCGTTGCCTTGCCTAAAACATTTCCGGCTTGATAACGAAAAAGGCGACAGATCGCCGCCAATAGCCACCTGGGACCATTCTACTATTCCTTCGATATCATGGGTTTATTAATCATTAGGAAATAGTGATGTTACCAATTTCAAAATAAAACTCACACTGTTGAAGATTCAGAAAGTAACAGTACACCTGTGTGTTGTCCATAGCTTTGGTCGAGGTGAGCAGACGATAGATCGGTGTGTCTACAAATCGATCATAGTTACTGTTGTCGTAGATTACAAAACGTAATCATGGACATGTTTGGAGTAGGGAGTTGCTTGGTTTCACATGACCCTGTTCGAGAGGCTTCAGAATAAATTAGGTCGTATTTCACTTTGCAGAAACCAATGAACAAAGGTTAAGTGATGACCTCCCTTTTGGAGACAAGTTCATATCTATATGCTTCAAAGCATTTGTTAAGGCTGAATACAAAAATGTTTCTCTACACATTGTTCTCATAAGTTTACTTCACACCACGATTACTAATAAAACACAGCTCTTTAATACTATGCAAAAAAATTGACACGCTTATCATTTCATCGACAACAGAATATCATTTGTATGAGGCAATTTTTGAAAACGACTTTTATAGGCAAAAATACGCGCAGGGCTTAAACTTACGCGCCAATGTCCGAGAACAATTTACTCGTTTAGTCTGATTTGCACTTTACAAGTGTCTGTACCTTCATTTCATTTCTGTTTACACTGGATGACTGTGCATTCATTCTCAGCTCAATCTCAGCTTCCTGGGGAATATACAAACCAAACTTGCGTATGAAGCGTTAGCTAAAATCCACATTACCATCTGGCCCTACCGGGTATCTATAGTGGGTGGGTGAACAGAGTCTGTAATTCAAATGCAAACATTTATTACTCGAACAGGTGGCGTTTTCAATAAATTCACAAACCAAACTTCTGATAAGACTTGACAAATGTCTTTTAAAGAACGTCCAGCGTTATTATTCATCAGAACTGTTCGTTCGCTGAATGGTCGCTTGACTGTTCAACGATATGCTTGTGGTAGAGCGAGGCATGTCCCTGTCTCTCTCACGGAAGCAGGCGGCAGGTAATAGAATGACCTTGACCTCATGTCGGAAGGCTTCGTAGACGGAGGAGTAGATGAGGACGTTCATGAAACTGTTACTGTTTGCCAGCCATAGAAACGTAAACTGGAGCTCCCTCGGGGTGTATGCTAGGGTCAAAAGCAGACATTATCACTGAGGCTGAGTAGGGGCCCCAACACAGAAAGAACATCCCGGCAGTGATGCTGAGAATCTTGACAGCCTTCACGTCCCTCCTGGTCCGTTGGCAGGAACCTCCGGCAGTCCCAAACCCTGATGTTTTGATCCTCCTCACTATACTGACTGTTGTGAATAGGATTATACTTCCTGACAAACACGGAATCGCCATTCCGGTGATGATGCAAAACAGGGGGTACTCCCAGAATAGACCGCACATGCCCTCGTTGAAGCTGAACCTGTAGTAAATGAAGTCTGGTTTGGTAAAGATGACAGACGAGAAGGTCGCAATTGCAAGCACCCAACATGATGCCAATCCAAAGTAGCATCTTCTACTTGTTACAAGCGACGGGTAGTGCAGAGGTTTCATGAGAGCAATGTATCGGTCAATGCTTACGTTCGAGAGGCTCCATATTGATACGGTGACCGAGGTTCCATGGGTTACTCCGGCTATCTGGCACCACACGTCACCGTAAGGCCAGTAGCCTAGGACTGCTGACAGAACACACGGGGCACACGTCAACAGACCCACGGACAGGTCGGCAATACTTAGGTTAGTCAGACACAGTTTGGAAATGTGAGGTATGGTCCTGGTTCTTCGGAGGATGACTATGTTGAGAATATTGGACGTAATCACAAAGAATGACACTGAGAAGATTACGGGAGTTCGAATCCAAACTGAAACAGAGAATCCCTCTTGAACGGAAAACATTCCTCCGGTGACATTCTTCAAGTCGGTTACTGTTATCCTGTCACCCATCACTGACTATGAATAGTCATATGTTCCTCAATCAGCTGGAATCAAATGGTGTCCAGACAGCAATCCTGCCACCAAACCCGTACCCCGTGTAGTTTACTGTACAGCTTCTTGTTGAATATGACCAGGAGCAGATAATAACGAACCAGCTCTTAATCCATTGGAAATGTGCGACTGGAAGTCTTACAAGCAGATACTTAACTTGTTTGGGTACCAGTCTTCAGGCGAACTAATTACGATATACTGTATATGTCCGCAGAAAATCCTTTCTCGGTGATATCAGCATTATGTATTTCAAACGAGCCTAAAATCAGCTTCTTTGTTGGAATTAATAAGGCTCAAATTCTTTCCTGAGACATGCAGACAGACATAAAGCAGACATCTTTCAGGGGTTTTCTGGCAGCAGTAAAGTCAGCGTACATATTGTTCATTTCAAAACGAAAGAAATGGCAAGTTTTAAAAACGATGTTGTTTTCCTTAGTGGAAACGTGAACCTGCAGGGTTGATTTGACCGCATGTAAAACATTTTTGCAACAAATCTTTTATAGTTGCATATAAAGCCGTTGTCATAATAATATTACTTACATAAACGAAAGCTCAGTAAATTTCACGATCAAAAATCAAACCTGAAATCCATTAAACAAATTTACATTTCGAAGGTATTTTTATACACACAACTCTTAAGCCTTTTAGTTCGCATCCTTCCTGTGAAATCAGAAATAAGTGGCTTTGTCGGGCTTTGTCATTGGTTTACTTCACACTGCATCCACAGAACACACACCGTCATGAAATTAGAACTCCCCTGGTTTCAGATTCTCCCGGAAAGATTATTTACTGGCAGCATTCTGTTTCCATCTACTCAAGAACAATCTATATTTTGTACATGCACAATACATCCACCAAGAAACTTGATAAAACCTGCATGTTCTAGTTCCACATCCGTTTCACGCACTCTTCACTGATGACGAACACTGTCGTTAAAAGCTCGTGTGTGTGGAATGGTCCAGCTACATGAAATGTCAACAAACAATATACTCTATGCAAATCAGCATGGATTTTTCACGTCCAATGACATCAGTGTCTAATCACGCATTTCAGCCGTCCATCAAACGACTCCGATGTCGACAGAATTAAAACATATTTACACAGTTTTCTCAGCATGGAAACCACTCAACCACCCAGTCAGCGTTTACCCTCTGTCGAGTTTATGGAAGCTCAGTGGTCACACTATGATAACATTTCTGTAACAAATTTAGTTGACTTCCATTTCCTTGACGTCCATGGAGTCGAATGTTTGTTAGTACAAAGAACAGTTCTTCCTTCTTCAGTCTTTTTGAAAGTCTGCATGGACTAGTTCACCAATCATCACTGTAATATACATCACACACTGTCGAACCATTCTGTTTCAGACGAACCGTTGGCGTTGTAGCATAATAAACTCATGCATTTCTTACTTCTGCAACAGTCGAAGGATCAGTCCAACCACAAGATGCATAGTGACCAATGGTGCGTATGTATTGCTCCGCCGACTGGCCGTGGTGAATAGCGCGGTGACCTCTGACGTTCTGTGGTTTCACGATCTCCTACAACACAGCTATGGCATCTGCCAGCCGTGGCATATCGGGAACGCTTGTTTGTATAATGGATGTATTGTTCGTTGTGGACAAACACCACTTTGATAGAAAAACAAATTAATCGACTCCAATATGATGTTCTTCCACCCTGTTGAATAGTATCTGTATTCCGAGGTATATACCCCCGGACATCTGTTGCACGTGTCAGTTTTAAAAACAGCTGTTTTCTGGCAGCGTGGCCATGTTATTGTATAACTTATGGTATTTATACAATTTTTCAGAATGATTATATATCGTAGAAGACATAGGCTTTATTACATAAATCATGAAAATGTCTTTGACACGATATGCCCCTTAGCGCTGATTACATTTCGTTTGATTATATTCTCTATTACTTCAATTAAGAAAACACGTCTTCAACAATATCGGCAGTCTGTGATGTTACGTTGTTATTAGAGAAAATAAACCGTACTCGCCAACATGATCCAGCAAGGCCATGATCCAGTATGGCAGTGAGCTACTAGTCTGGTACACTTGCTTACTAATAATATATATTATATTCACTTTGATACAGAAGAGAAGGATATTGAAATAATCCCGTCTACTGCCAACCTGGGAGTCATTGAGTGATATACCGACTGGGTTGTATATGGTAATGTTCGACAGTTACGAAATACGATCGCTTCAATGGACGGGTAATGGAGGGAGAACGACAGGTTATCAAGCGAATAATATATCCCGGTATATATTTAATAGTAGCAGCAAAACACTTTCCATAATCATATCTAACTTCCATAAAAAACAGAGGCGATTGTATGTTGCCGACGATGTCATAAAATACAATATTAGCAGCAAAACCTTTCCCAATATCATAAGAAATCATTGTAAAATGCAGAGTCCATTGTAAAACTGCGACACCATACCTTACCAAGTACTGGGAATGCACCTTGTGTTGAAGACAACATGAGCATATCCTACCCTATCGGAGTTCCCGTCACAAACACATGCAAAGGTAAGTCAACTGTTCACCTGAAAAAAACACGGGGACACATTGCACAAGTCAACTTAATCTGGACTTAAGAAATCAGTGGCTTGTGTAGCACTATGGAAAACGTGCTGCTAACAGCCATTTTGTCTTTTTGTATGTAAACAATTGACATGTCGCTGCATGTGTTTGTTATGGATGGTGCCACTGGAGCAGGATACGCTAACATATTCGCGTAAGTCTGGCATCAGTAGAAATGGAGAGTGATTCATAAATACTTGTTAATGACATAGTCGGAATCAATAATGAGAAACGTTAGCTGAAAACAGACTCCGCTGTACAATGCAGATGATATCAAAATAATGTGTTTATGAATACCTGTCAGTTTAAGCATCGTGCAACTTTACAAGAACGAGTGAGTTTAGTTTTACGCCGCACTCTGCAATATTCCAGCTATATGGTGGCAGTCTGTAAATAATCGAGTCTGGACCAGACAATCCAGTGATCAACATCACCAGCATCGATCTACGCAATTCGGACCGATGACATACAAGAACGATGGTCACTGACGGGGTTTGCTTCATGTTCTCTAAAGGGCGGCTCATCTGAACAGCCTGGCGAGATAAAGTAGACATTTGAAACTTCAAATTTACCCATAAATTTCAAACTAAAATTCCAAAACACATCTGTGTCAAATACATATCACCATCGAATAACCATTTTTCATCTTTAAGCATCATGAAAGAAGAATGTAACTTATGTTATATTTGGGATTGTGGCATTGTGTAATCATGAAAGAAGAACCACAAATGTAAGAGAAATATGGTTCCGGTAACATATTCAGTTGATTCGATCACGAAATGACAGGTTCGGGATTGAGAACACTGCCATAAACAGCCAAATTTCATTGGCCAAGTCAATGCTATTACACGCTTAAAAAAAAGAAAGGCCAAAAATAAGGAAATGTATTAAACGTATTTAAGTGTACATATGCTTGAACATAGATGAAGGCAATTCGACACAGGGGTGAACATATGTATTGTCATTGTCAGCATTAATTCAGTTCACTCGCTGCACATGTGTGGACCAAGAGGACGTTCAGGTCAGTACCTGGTGACACCACTCGTTAACAGACGTCACTGCTCGACACCGCCTTGGAAGGGATTGTACAAGTCGTCGGATGTTTGCTCGGGAGATTTCTTCGCCATTCCTCCTACAACGCGTTGGCAAGTTATGCAAGTGTCTGAGGTGACCTTTACGGATGTGTCGCTGCATAGATGCTCGATCAGGTTCATATTAGGCGATTTGGAAGGCCAGGGAAGGACATTGACGTTTGCATTGGCGAGATAGGCATGCATCTGTTACACGAGATGTGTGGGGTCGAGCCTGTCGTGTTGAACCAGCTCCCTCTGGCGGTTAAAAAGTTTGAGGAGGGGCATGAGGTCGCAAGATTTGGTCGATGTAGCGATTTGCTATAAGGTTGCCTTTAACGGGTGCAGGCTAAAACGGAACCACAGCAAAACGGCACCTGGCGAAAACGGCACCATTTGGACATAACGGAACCTCGACTTGGCGAAAACGGCTACAAATCTTATGGCGAAAACGGCACCAACTAAAATCTTATGGGGAAAACTAGTTTGTTATAAGATAATCGGATTGCAGATAATAAATACATCTACTATTATGTCGGAACTATCAAAATTTAAGAACAAGGATGTATTTTTATATTCAAGGATACGATGTGAAAACTACTTTATACGGTAACGGCGCATTGAATAACTCAACTATCAGTGATATTCTGAACTCATTACAACAGTTCATTTCTAAAAGTAACCGCTTACAGTAATTATCAAATCTACGTTTATATTCAATGTAAGGCAAGTTTTATATATTTGATTTTCTGCGGCTGCTCATTTCGTTGCTAGGCATATCCAACACTATACCGAACATATTTATTATTCAATCATTTATCTGTTATTTTGTCACAGTATTTTTCTTTTGTTGTCAAATTATTTCAATTATGTATCCAGCTATTGGAACAATATAATGGAGTTGCGTCTATATAAGCCACTAGGCTTGTTCGCCTATCCAGGTTTCTTTGACGAAATAAAAATGTGCTTAAACCAAATATATCTACTGTGCCGACAGTGATTGGAAGTGGGCATCCCATAGCTGACTATCGGATTGCAGAATGTTTAGATAGTAAATACATCTACTGAGCCGACAGTGATTGGAAGGGCATCCCAATTTAGCGTGAAAACATCGCAACCTTTGATGTTTTAAGTACATTTACTCAACTGAAACCGCCCAGTGTCAAACTCAGTGTCAAAATGAAATTGTTTTTAAAACGCACAAATGTACCCATTGTTTACCGTCGCCGAAATACCTTAGTTGTGCGTGCGACGTTAAATAAAGCAAATAACAACAACCCATTGTTTGTTAGTTTTTGGTTTTATGGGGATTTTTTTCTTTTTGGGTATACATAACATAATAATTTTTCTGAATATACATAACATATATTATGCAAGCTTAATGATGTTTCATTTTTCATATTTTGCCATTTTAATAGACATTACCTGAAATTGTGTCACTGCCGAAATTTGAACATTTGTAACATCATTTTGAAAGAAAAAATCCAAACATAATATTTATTTCATGTACATATATATTAAAATATCTAGTTTTGACATGGAATTGTATATTTATTGCTTATGAAAAGACAAAAATTCAAATGCCACATCTGTGACATCAGCCACTGGAGTTGTGACACATGAACATTGAGTAAAATTGGGTGGTGTAAAGTAAATATAAAAAATAGTTTCCTACATTTGTTACTGTAAAAAAATATTGTGATAAGTTAGTTACCATAATTTTTTTGGTTTGATTTTGACTTAAGTTTGTCGGATACAAACATCTTACATAAATATGCACGGATTTTGAGAATGACTCATATGTTGATATAATCTTGCTAATGTTATATTGAAATGAAATAAAACATTAGTCAACGTCATACTTTGATTTATATTTGGTGCCGTTTTAGCCCAGAAATCAGTAGCCGTTTTCGCCAATATGGTGCCGTTTTCGCCACACAAATTTGGTGCCGTTCTGCTGTGGTGCCGTTTTAGCTATAACCCCCTTTAACTACCACAAGTTCTGATCTACCCGTGTAGGACATGGCTCCCCACACCATGACACTTTCTCCATCAAAAGTGTCCACCTGTCGAATGCAATTCGGCGCAAAACCTGTGGGCAGCCATCGTGGCCATGGCCGGGCTGGTGTACGTAGCCGCTAAGGAATTTTTAACCAAATGATCCCCCCAACCACCAGCGCTGTTTTACGATCGATGTGTTCCTTGTTTTCAGCCACCTGGTGTGGTGGCAGGGGCTGTGGTGGTGTGGGTTGAGCCCTGGGGAGGTGGGACGTGACTCACGTTGATGCCTGCATTGACACCCAACTTCTGGTCGGCCGTGGCTATGACTATTTCGTTGTTGTAACCCACCACTTTTTTTACTCTCAGTTGCATATCGCTCGGAGCCATGTTCAGTCCCACGTCGAACACGTAGTCGACTTTCGACCGAGCGTATTCCAACACGTCTTGGTAGCGTCGGATAGCACTTGGTAGATCAACTGGAGCATTGATAGCATCCTTGACGTTAACAACGAACTGTTTCTGAGCGTCGTAAGCAGTCCCCTTACCGAGGATGTTGGAAAGCATTTGCCACTGCGCACCCAACAGCGCCCACACGTATGTTCGAATCGAGTCGTTCAATCTGGTTACACCGGCACGAGTGAACCCTCTCGACATGTCCAGCATGAACTTTTTCCAGTCATCCGCGGGCCCCTGCTCAAATCTCCAGACTACGTGAACACAGACTGACCCAGCGGAGTGTCGGTCAACGTCAAGCCACACCCAGTCATCGCACACCAGAAGGCGAAGTTGAGTTGATTCTGCCAGAACTGCATAGGGGTGTTGAACCAGGCGTTGACTGCCTTGACGTTAGTCACCGAAAGCTTATACCCATCAAACACATCTATGAACTGGGCTCCGAAG